TCTTGTATTACCCAGAGGTAATTTATTAGTTCCAGAATATATTTTTGGTTTGATGAAAAACAAGAAAAAGCTTTTCTTTTCTAATTAATTAATTATTTATTTATTTGATGTGTTTAGTTGAATTAGGTTTCCTTTATTCTATTATTCTATTTAAAGATGATTCTAATTACCACGCAAATTCAAATCGGAAAGTTTGAAAATGAAAAAATTTGTCTGGATCCTCCAAATTTCTGGAGACGAACCTGGTTAATTTATGTTGAAATAATTCCAACAAAAGTTTCAATAAAAATATTCCGTTGAAAATTAGTTTTTCATTAGAATTTTAGTTGAACTTTGTTGATTTCAAAAGTTTGTTACGGTAAGAATTTCTATTCGAATTTTCGTTTCAACCATATTTCATTCGTTGAAATCGCCTAAATCCAACGAGAATTTTAACGAAAAACTCGTTCAAATGGAGAAATTATTATATTGGAAAATTACATCAAAAAAATTACACTGAAATTTCCATTGAAACTGTAGTAGGTGGACTCGGGCTTAAGCAGTCGAAGTTCATGAACGAGGCTCTATTAATGAAGTTAGGGTGGACAATGTACGCTTTGGGTCCGGTTATGTGCGCCAAGTATAAATTGCATCCGCAGGAGATGACAGGCGATTTCAAGTTCCCTAATGGGTCGGTCTGTATAAGAGTCGTGGCGAAGGTTTGGTCGCATGTCAGGAGGGGTGCACGTTGGGCTTTGGGGAATGGACATCAAACTCGATTCTGGTTGGACCTGTGGATGAATGCGTCGGACCCGTTAATCACAGTGGCGACCGAGCAGATACCGGCTGAAATCATTCAGGCCCCGGTGGCAGAGTTTGTCACGGAGGTGGGTGAATGGTGGTGGGCGAAATTCGAGCGCTTTCTACCGACCACCTCACTGTTGTTGATTGCGGCGGTACTACCACCGTCTTCTTCGGCAAGGTCGGATCGCCTGGTATGGGGATATACGCCGAACGAAGTGTTTTCGACGAAGACGGCCTACGAGGCTTTGACGCGAGTGGTCACAGATCCCTTCCGCCCCCTGTGGAGAACCATATGGCGAGCGCCGGCAACGCAAAGAGTGCGCCATTTCTTGTGGCTGGCAAGTAAGGATCGGCTGTTCACAAACAAGGAGAAGGTTCGTAGGCATATCGCTGGAGATGCTGCATGTTGCTTTTGTGGTCAGCCCGAGTCGACTTCCCACGTGCTACGTGATTGTGTTCATGCGCGATCCATTTGGGATGTGTTAATTCTGAACTCGGTCCGACAAGAATTTTTTGTCCTAGACGCCCGCGAGTGGATTTGGTCGAACCTGGTGGTTTATTCTCCGGATGGAGTGGCGAACTGGGCATCCATCTTTTCGATCACCTG